CTGCAAATCCATTCAAAGCGTCTGTGTGGGACTACATGTCAGTGTTTCTGGGCTTGAAGATATGCTGCTGAGTTTGGTGCAGTAATTGGAGACCTCTCCCACCAGCTGCTGCCTTCATACGGGAGACAAAGAGTGGGTGTGGCTGCCTCCCACAAACGCGCCTGGAAGGTGGACTGAAGCCCCTCCCTCCGCCCTCCCCTTGTTCTGCTCGGTGTCGCCAGCTGGCTGCCCCCCCTCCAGCAACACAATGGCAGATAGGATCAAAGTGACTTTTTTAGCAGTCACTGTTGCAGATAATCTTTCACATGAATTTTACATGATCTGGTATGGGATATAGTAGGAAGGTCCCGATCAGATGGCACAGGCTAATCCCTGCACACACACACACACACACACACACACACACACCCCACCATCTGGTTTCGTCAGCTAGCAGGACTCGTCTGAATTTAGTTTATTTCCACAGTGACGCTGTTGGACGCCGCTGTGGCTTTGGTGTTTATATTTAGACACGAGCGGAGCTATTACACGTCAAGCCACGTGTGCGCTCCAAACATGTGAGAAATGTGCTCAAGACCGCTTTCCCGACGCACACATGGAGCGCAGCCCCGCTCGCTCTTCGAGATTGCTTATTTCCTGGCTGCGTTTTGATTGAGAGATGACATTTCTGTGAAGTGACTGGCAAGGTTAAGGGTTCACGCTCGACGGCACAAGTTAATTATAATAGTGTATATAATAGTTAAGTTAATCTTCTCTTTTCTCTCTTTGTTTCCCAGAGAGAAATACGTCGATATCATTCTGAAAATGGAGGAGATGTTAAAGAGCTGGTTCCCTCACGTAAAACTCCAAGAACAACTCGCCGCTACCCAAACAGATGGAGCCGTTCCAAGCAAGAGGCTGAAGGTAAACGTGTTTTAAAAATGAAAAAGAAATCAAAGCTGTTGTTTTAAACCTCCTCAGGCAGAGCTGTGCTGCTGCCAAGAACATCCAGTGACAACTCGGTGATGGAACGACAAAAATACCCATTGTTATTAAATGGCAGGTCTGAGAGGAGAAAAGGAAGATTAAAAGCTATTTTTACTGCGTCTCAGGTTCGCTAAGAACAATGATAGAAGAGAAACGGTAATTTGGGAGGCGTGCCACTCGTGGGCCGTGAAAGGTCACGATAACCAAGATGATTTTTTTTTTGCGTTTATTTGACATGAATTAGTTTGACGTTAATCACACAAACAGGAGTATCATGTTCCAGTTTTGTTCCTGTTGACACAAAGAGGCTGTTTTTATCATCTTGTTTGTTCTCATACCTTAGAGTTTCACAATTTTCCTATTAACACACAAACGGAATACCATTCTTGAAGTGAAAGGAGGAGTTGGCACACATTTCTGCTGCTCGGGGAACATTTACATTTTTTTGGCTCATTATCTTGGCCTGAGATTTTATTTTATTTTTCTTATTTTTTTAAAGCACAAAAATGCAAACAATTACGTAGCAACAGGTTTTCGAGTCCCTGTGAAGCATTTATCATTTATAAAGCAAGAAACCTCCATCATGGGTTTCTGAAATACACAAAAAAAGGAACAATATTTGTATAGATTCATAAAGGATAGTGCTCAACCTGTAGTTGAAGATATTCTCTAATATTGCTGCCATCTCTGTTTGCAGTCATCAGTAAATTACACTCAAGTCTTTTTTAGGTTAAGCTTAGGACAAAATTGAGATTTTATTTGTAACTGTAGCTCCATGTCATAATTCCTTGAAAACAAACAAATCAATCAGATTTTAAATGTTACATATAACAAAACAGATGATGCAGCTGTGTTTGGTAGTTCCTGAATACCGTCCAATCAAAGCAGACTCATCTCCCCTCCTTTTGTCAGAACAATTTTTTTTAATCTATAAAAATGTTATTTCATTCTGCACAATAGAGAGCATTTCTTGTAAAATGCTGAACGTTTAAAGCATTTTAAAAAATACATATTTCCTGAATCATAATTTTCCATTCTGTCCAGGGTTTGTCAATCTAAAACCCGCAGACCTGACTCTTAACTGGGTTTTTTAATTGCGGTTGGAACAACTTTCTTCTGCGTTCAGTCCAGCAGAGATTTCTGTCTTACTTGTGGGAGTTTATTGGTTTTCACTTCATTTGGCATCTATGAGAACATTCAAATGTTCACCACAAGTSATCAAAGTTTACTTAGTCTTTTACAGAAACTTGTTTACTTGTCTTTTATGGAGGCGCTAAAAACTAACAGACAAGAGGGAGACGTAAACAGATCTGTTGTACCKGTTAGCAAAACAGCCGGTGACTCTTTGCCCCGCACCGGTGTGGGGACTGACATCTGCGGCCCAGTTTAAAAATAATAGGCTTACCTAATTATCTCAAGAGACTGTGCAGGAAACGGAGCGATGCCCTTTCTTTGTGTTATTAGAGCTTATAGAGGCAGACAGTGCCAGTTGGTTCAGGTAACTCCGGTTACGTTTGTGCTTTAGTGTTCAGGAGAACTGAGAAAGTATTTGCACACTTTTTTATGTGTTTAAACATGGTATAGCAATAACACTAATGATATTAGTATAAGATAATACTTTAAAAGAGATATAAGAAATGTCTAAACAATTCTTTCTCACCGTTTCAGGAAAAGTGGCAAAACCTTTACCTGATGACTTTATAATGTTGTTTTTTTTGGAGCTTTTTTGGGCAACAGATGCTTCTTTTTAAAGGGACCTTCAGGAACTTTGTGATAACTCAGTGCCATCATTGAAGGGCTGCAGCTAGCTGGTGAAGAGCGTTCTCATAARACTCTCCAAAATGCCTCAAGGAGTCTTGTCGCTCGAATTTTGAACATGTGAAATATATCTAATCCAAAAATAATCCTGGGATTGTTGCAGGCGTCTCCAACATGTCTTAAGAGCTCTTAAGAGTCGTACTTKGACACCTGCTAGGAAACTATCCCCTCACAGATAAAATCCAAGATTGCTGTCTGCTATGATAAATAATAATTTCTATAAATCTAGTCTTAATCTGTCTATATTTATTTCTAAAGCCAAGGTGGGTACAGCGCGGGTCATGGCAGGTGAATGTAGGTGGAGCTGGATAACAAAATAATGCAAAAAAATCGCTTCACAAGCTGTTAAAATCTAAAGACGATTTTCAAAATAAGCTGTGAAGAATGTGGCGACACGTCTCACTGGTCCTGATTGATAAAATGTGATCTAAAACTAAARGTGTGCTTCTTCTTTTCCTCCAACCAGGCATCTCCAGTGGCCACGACTGCAGCAGTGAACCCAGTCACCCTCGGTGATCTTCCAGCTGGCTCCAAAGCCCTGAGAGTCACAGACCTGACTCCTCCCGGAGCCTACTCTGCCAGTAACCTGAAGTGGCTCCACACGTCACCCATCTGCTCCCCGACCGCAGAGGAGGCCCAGGCTGGTCCCAGGCACCTGCTGCTCCCCAGAGACAGAGACCTAACGCAGGACAACGCCGTGTCCTCCAGCACAGACTGCCACACTAATAAGTCAGACTCCGTGCCCAGAGGCCCTCCGCCGGGCAAAATCAACGCGCCCTGCCTGGAGAGGCTTCTGAAATCCACGGACAGCATCGTCGCGCGCAAGGGGACGGGGGGGTTGACGGGCAGCAGCTGGTCCTAGTCCACGAACAAGGCTGGGAAGTCCGGCTGTGATCAGTGCCCTCCCCCGGCCCTGCTGGGAGCCAATCAGCTCGCTCAGTTCATTCCAGCCTTTCAGGAGAACCGGGAGCACTCAAATAAAAAAAAAAAAAATAAAACAAAGAAGGGATCTTCTTCAGCGTGCAACAAGTTTCTCGATGAACTCCCTCCCCCTCAGACACGAGACGCATCCGCCTCTGTTTTTTTTTCTCTTTTTTATTTTTATTTTTATTTTATTCCCTTCGCCCTCTCCTTGTTTCTGTGTTTGCACTCTTGAATGTGCGAGTGTCGGATGAATCGTTTTCACACACCTGGATAACAGCAAGCGAGTGCCGAACGGCTCCCGTTGACTTGTAGGTTTAACGAATCAGTTTTAAGCATCTGCGAAAAACTGTGGATACACCTGAAGGGAGCTGCCCGGTCGGTTTGAGCTGGAAGGAAGCATCATTCAGATATCCAAACATGTCAGTGATATTACATATTATTGTTCTGAAAATGTGGGATAAAATGTGACGCAGTCCCCCCTCCCCCTCCTCACCTCCACCACCTCCCCCAAATGACTCCACTCTTTACTTTATTGATGTGACTGTTACTCATTTCTATTCTTTATTGATAAATCTTTTGGTACAACTGTTCTACCTCATTTTGCACCACGTCATGGTTGGCAGAGTAGGAATGTGAACACTAAAAAAAAGGTCTGAGCGGATGAGCCAAACAGCCTCAGACAAACAGAGGTGTGCAGKACAAACAGGATGCTCTCTCTCTCACGCTACATGGATGCTCTCATGACTGGTGCCATTGTAAAGAATGTCAGCTGCAGATTTTTTGTTTTGTTTTCTTTATTTTATTTTTTTGTTGTTGCTGTTTTATTTTTTTATATTTTTTTGAGTCTCCCAGTAGAAGGCAAACAGTGCCTGCAACGTCAAGCTGTGCCTGTAAGCCGCTGTAATGAAGACAGAAGTGTTTAGAGTACCTGTTCCTCTGTGGGATGTACGAGTCAGGAAATCTCACTCTCCTGCCGTGTTCCTGTATTGACTAAATTATTCAGATTTGCCAACTTTTTTTTTTCTGTGGTGGAGTAGAACGATTCAAACATTTTGTTTTGCCACAGAACTGGGCGGCACATTAGACCACCAGAAAGGGACGAGGTATTATTATTTTTTCTTTTTTGTTTGTGCAAATCTTACAGAAAAGTTGTCAATTCACCCTGAAAAGTGGCCTTTTACAGTGTGACATTTTATACTTTCAAAATAAATGTGGTTATATTTGTTTGATGCAAAAACTGTGTGATGTTTTGTTGTGCATTTGCAGACACCGATCAGTAGATTTTTAGCTACAGACCATCACGGTTGTGTTTTTTCTCTTTAATTTCTCAAAAAAAAGTCTTACATTTGCAAACACACGTCTAGTRGCCTGTAAGTGTTTTTTTAATCACCTGCAATTAATCCACACTCTTAGCATTTGCAAAGCTCAGATACAAAAATGTACATTTTTAAACCTAAGCTTTTTACCAGATTACCAAGAGCCATATTTTCAGTAGTGGGAACTGTTGGGATTTATATGACCAAACCTAAAAGGAAGAAGCGTGTACAGAAAATGGATGGACGGATGACCAAACCTTACGTTATAGAGAATTAAAATTTTATAATTGTGATTCTAAATATCTAAATCTCTGTAAGAATATAGTTAGATATACACTGAGAATTAAATCAGATTTTTAAAGCAGAAAGTATTTAGAGTTATGATCTGAATTTATTACCCGACATCCCCTTCCATACAGTTTTAATGGAAAAATAGAAATTGAGCATGCTAACAGCAAATCAATGCATTTCTATAAAATTGTCTCTTAACATGCCATCTTTATCTCTTATTGCCTTGAAATACAGGGGTTAGACAATGAAACTGAAACACCTGTCATTTTAATGTGGGGGGTTTCATGGCTAAATTGGACCAGCCTGGTGGTCAGTCTTCATTAAYTGCACATTGCACCAGTAAGAGCAGAGTGAAGGTTCAATTAGCAGGGTAAGAGCACAGTTTTGCTCAAAATATTGCAAAGCACACAACATAATGGGTGACATACCAGAATTCAAAAGAGGACAAATTGTTGGTGCACGTCTTGCTGGWGCATCTGTGACCAAGACAGCAAGTCTTTGTGATGCATCAAGAGCCACAGTGTCCAGATCCAACAGGATTAACTGTGGACACAAGAGGAAGCTGTCTAAAAGGGATGTTATGGTCTAAAACCAGATGTTTCAGTTTCATTGTCTAACCACTGAGTTTAGCCTTTAAAAAGCTTATGCTAAAAAAAACAAAGCACATCGCTAACCATATTCAAATAAGAAAATGTGTAACTTTTGAAATTATTCATTGTAAATTCATGAAGACCTGTTGAAAACAAAGGAATAAAATCTGTGCAATATTTTCCTCACGGTGATGATTATTGAGTCCTTAAATTAAAAATTTGTGACTGAATTTCAACGGTCTGTCAAAACAGGTCAATAATAGCAACATCCTTGGAAGAGTCATTTGGCCCTGAGAAGTCTGAACTCGATCGACCAGCCTAGTGTAGGTCGATCACCTTAGTCAAGCTTTGTCTTTTTATTTATTTAAAAAAAAAATTGGTGGTGGTGGAGGGGGTGTCACATGAGTGCTTTGTTTACACTGAGTGAGTACCCACATTTCAGATTTACATATCAATATCTGAAAATACTGGAGTAAACTCTTTAAACTACACCATCTGGGACATTTCAAGATCACCTTTTTTATGTTTGATTTCATAGGTTGCAATGAGCCCCTTTAACTTAAAGCTGAATACTCTCAGCAGTAATGTAAAACTAAGGTATTTTTGAATATGGAATCTTACTATGGCACCACCAGCTGCGAGTTGCTTTAGTCAGACTTGCTCAGCTGCAGATTCATGTCAGTAAAAACATCCTGAACTCATCAGGCAAGTTTATGAGAGCACTGTGACCTGCAGAGTCAAAACACTAAAACAAACCAAGTTTTCTGACTGCACCACACAGTCACGTGCATCTTTTTTTCCAGACTAAAAGGGGCTGATTGGGTCGATAACCCACAATGCATTGTTTTAGAGACATCCCAGATCCCATCTCCYGGGCCAGGACTAATGGTCTCTGTGGTCACGTGCACAGACGACCTGACAGTGTTCATGCACAACAGCAGCTGGCACCGATCGCCCTGAAACACGGAAGTTGTTCTGAATGATGGGAAGAGCTGAATCAACAGAAAGTGGCACATTTCTGGTAAAGCTCGACCAAATCTCACAGCTGTCAGTGACGGTGCTGAGGAAATGGTGCAAAAAAAAAAAWAAGAAAAACTCTAAAAGGAACACAAATTTAAAAATGAAGGATGCTCTGTTTCTGTGCATTAACACAAAAAATGTAAATGTGAGATTATGTTCCTGTCTTATTTAAAGTTCTTGAGCCTAAAACTGGCAAATACCTCAAGTGCACATAAAGGACTTGATAAAATATGTTAAGTTAGGTCTTTTTTCCCCCCAACCGTGTTCAACTACATGACACCCAATTTAACAGCTAATCTCATCGACCCAGACCAAAAATTATATTGCTTTTTTCCATTTTCAACGCTTCACAGAAGGTTTCGCTTTAGAAAACTGATTGATGTCTGAGTTTCTTTTGTCTGCGCTACTGTATGTGGGCAAAACTACAAAGACTGATCATTAGTGGAGCAGCATGGATGAGAGGCTTTTGTTAGAAGCATTCAAAGCCAAGTGGGAGAGACAAAACGAGAGGGGACGAAAAGGTCCAAGGTTCCAGGTGTAAAATGGTGAAAGGAATAATAATAATAATAATAAATAAGGCCCCATTCTCTTTAGCTGCTTTTTGTTAATTCGCCTTCATTTAAGTGTAACAACAGGAGGATGGTTGCTAAATCTATGTGGTGTATATAATGTCTCACGCTGCTAGTTATTTAGACTCCTCTACTGTGTAATATCATATGATATCATATATTGTCTCTTATTCTATTGTATTGTATTGTATCAACAATGTCATGTCTTAGAGCTACATACATGATATGATATGATATATGATATGATATGATATGATATGATATGATATGATATGATATGACATGACATGACATGATGTGATATATGATATGATAAATGATATGATAAATGATATGATATGATATATGATATATGTGAGATGATATGATATATGATATGATATGATATGATATGATATGATGTGATATGATGTGATATGATATATGATATGATATGATATATGATATGATATGATATGATATGATATGATGTGATATGATGTGATATGATATGATATGATATGAT